TGGGAGCTGCAGGGAGGGGCTGCTGAGAGTAAGAGGGGGGTATGCCTGGAGGTGTGTGACTCAAGTTTTTTTTGGGGGGGGGGGAGCTGAACCTTTAAATTGTGCCCCCACTCTCAGGAGGCACCAGTAAACTCTGGTAGAAGCCCCTAGCCGCTCTGCCCCCCCCCCCAGTCTGGTAAGTGGAGAATGGGGAGGGGGGGGGCTCTCTGAGCCACACGTTAACTGTAAAAGAGCTATGTGCGGCTCACGAGCCACAGTTTGGCCACCCCTAGTATAGCCAAACATCATCAGTACACAAGTGATATCCGGGGTGAGATAGAGAGTCATAAAATAACACCAGCTCTTGGAGAAAAAATAATCAATACTGGGACTTAAATCTAGCTGCACACCTTTCCTAAAGAGATTCTTTATTGCTAGGAGGGGAAAAGCAAACTGAAATAATGTTTTTTCTGTTGTTATTCTTCCAATCTTTCCTTAACTCTTTTGTTTAAAAGGGATATACAAAGTTTAGCACACACAAACCTTCCTAAATCCAAGGGTCTTCCCAGTCTTTTATGTTCCAATCTTTCTGGTTTTTAGAAATTTTCACATTTTTATAGTATCAAGGCTTCTTGACCTGGGTAACTACTGCAAATTTCCATTCAATGGTCTTCTTGAATGTTTAAGCAAATTCATTTTGCTTGTGTTCTTGCGCCTCCTATGAAAAGTGAACACAAATAATTTAACAAAGTAGTTTACGGGTAGGAATATTTTTCAAAACAGTCAATTTTAAGCCAATGCTGAAGAATATTAACAAAGTGAATTTCAAATTAATAGTAGCAAAGGAAACCTGATTCCAAGTGTTATGCTAATCTAGGGTTACCGGATGTCCCGATTTTATAGGGACAGTCCCGATATTTGGGGCTTTTTCTTATATAGGTGCCTATTACCCCCACCCCCTGTCCCGATTATTCACCCTTGCTATCTGGTCACCCTATGCTAATCCAATCAAAGAACAGAAACATGGCATGCTACTATGTGATTGTATGGTGGTGGCCCCAATATGAAAGGCTTCCTAGATGCACCCATTGAAATCTGTTCATATTTTGTAAATGGGATCTCACAATTGACTACTCACAAACAAATCAAAGACCTAGTGTTATTCAAATAAATTATTCTGTGACCAACTCTGAACAAATATGAGAAAAATCAGAACCTGTCTGGATCAGTGGAAACAGCAAAAGATTTAAAATATGAATATGGGATATTAGGTTTAAATATTATTGTAGGCAACAGTACCAGTTTTGCCAACATATAAGGTTGCCCAACACTTCCCTTATAAATACCCTATTTTCAGTTGTTGATATAGTTGAGGTAGACTGATATTTTCCATACCAGGTGTTTGCCTAAGGCTGAACTTCCCTTAGAAAGTTTCAGCAAAAATGGCTCTGCTGTTTTAGAATGAGATATGGGGAAATTGTGACTTGTCCATATTTTTTAAAAAAACCCAACAACCTTTAAACTGTTTAGTTGAGTAGCTGTAGTGCCACCCATTTTGTATCAGGGACTCTAAATTTGGCAGAGGGGGTCACCCTGGAGTTGGGGATCTGCCTTTTGCTGTTCCCGTGTTTATTCACCCAAATTTGTCTAAGTTATCAACCTTTGAAAAATTTTAGTTTGCACATGCTCAAAATATGGCAGTTAAATTTTCTGGAGATTCCATCTGCACTGGCCATGTTCCAGCCCATTGTTGCAAAGGCTGAGCAGGACTTGCTGGGCGATTGTTGATCCCAGCTGCTGCAGGCCACTGTGGTGCTGTGTACCGGAACTGAAAAAAGGGAGATTGTTTCTTCTGTGCACTTAATGGTGCCCAGATAGCATGGAGGAGGGAAAAGTTTCTGTCAAATGCAGAGAGGATAGGAAACAGACTTGAGGGGGGTGATGGATGGCAAAAGGGGATGGGGATTAGAAACTGAGGAGGAAGGAGGCTGGAAGACTGTATCCTAACAAATATGAACAAAGAAGCTGAACTAAGGTTGCACAGGCAACCTTAATTCTGGCATTTCTTGACTTTTGAGTGCTTGATTTTGAAACTTCAGTATCCTCTTAATACAGGTTTTGTGTGTAATCCTGTATAGAATGTAATGGAACTACTATTCATGCCTGAAGGATCACTACAGATATTTGCTCTTTTACTAACTTTTCCTCTTCTGCTTCAGGTTTCTGGCATTCAGGAGAGTCTTCTTTGGCCTTATTGCTTTTACATATTTTTTGAACATGTGTCCTTAACATTGGCCGTTTGACATTGAGTTAGTTAACATGTTCTAACATGCAACTTCGTGGTGTTGACAAAACTTAAGAGGTCAGATATCCTAAATACTTTACCAATGACTTTAAATAACAGGAATTGTGGAAAAACAGATGACCAATTTGTTTAAAAATTAGCACTTTTTATGAAACATATAAAGTAAAAACTAGCTCTTGACTATTCTGTACAGAATATCTTTGAAGCATTGTACAAATATTAAATAGTGCACAAAACACCCCTGTGAGCCTGGTAAATGGCGGTATTCCTATTTTCCAGAGGGGGAAAATGAGATGTAGTGTCTCCTACTGAAGGGAGCATAGGGCGATGGAGGCAGGTCAAGAATGTAATTCAGGAGTTCCTGGGCACCAGACCTGTACTCTGGCTTCAGGACAACCTGCTTTATTAAAACAGCTGCATACAAGCATAAACATTATGGTGGGACTTTAGAACTGAGCAACAGAGCCATTAAACAGAGTTAAGAGACGGGAGGCTTGCCCCAACCTGTCCATCAGCTGCTTTGTTGTTCTGTCCAACTGCTTGCTGGATGGTGTAAGATGACGCAGTGGAAACTCTGCTGTCCTGTGACATGTATAGGCTAGCTGGTGTGCTACTAACTTTGCTACTTGCTGAAAGTAAGTGTGCAATTACTGAAAAAAGTTCGATAAGGCTAACCCCAAATCTATAGTACCAACACCTTCAATCTGTCCATTACAGTGACAGACCCTAAATTATATTGTCTTTGACTAGTAACTCTCTGAAATCTTCAGTAACTGAACTGTTGTCACTGCTCTTGCAAGTACACATACCTTAAGCTAGTAGTATCCAGCCCTGAACTGCAGCAGCATCCATATAATAATAATAAAAAAAAAAGCCAGTTCTTTATACATGAATGCACAGGCAGTCAAGGTCAAAATAATAGACTCTATAACTTCCCTAGCCCCCTACAAGTATAGCTCTTTGGTTTGATTAAAGTGCACTCATCACCAGCTTCCAAAACATATGTACAAAATATAAAACTAAATGACCAAATGGCATCTACTAAAGACTCCGTCTGAACCTCCCAGGCCCTCTTCAGGCCAAAAAAAGTGAAAAATATCATTTTCTGAAATTGACAAACTTGGCCTTGTAATCCACATCAGACCCAATTATCTGTTGTTGTGTGTTCCTATGCTTGATGCAAGGGAGACCGAGAACCCAAGATGGCTATAAGTCACCTTTCTGCCCCCTGTGTACTTGGGCTATCTGGGGGCCTGTGGAGAGGAAGCCACTTGCAGAGTACAAGTTTTATTGAGCAAGCAAAATTCAGAATCTGTGTTTCACGTTCTAAGGAGTATCTTCTGGAAACTGTCTATTAATATAGACATGCAGATACAGAGCACTCGCTTAAGGAACATGTCGGGGTGGGGAGGAGAAAGGAGGTGCATAGCTGGGGCATCCTACACTCTTGCTATGTTAGGCCAGTGGATGGCCTATAGGGCACTTTTTTCAGCCAGAAAATAAATTAGAACAGCCAGGCAGGCCCTCTAGATAGGCCAAAAACTTAGGGAGCAGAAAGGTGACTTGTATACCATGCATATAGTATATTACAACTGATTTTCAAAACTGTGTGCACACTGATGAAGCTGAAACTGAGATCTTGTAGGTGTAAACATCTGTTCTGGCTTTATCCACATGTATGGGTGTTGCCTTTAACATTCCTCACACTAAGGTTTATAACGAAGAGCCTATAACTTTTATAAGATCTATTGTCTACTCTATACCATTCTATGAATGACCGCAATATGCAGGAACCAACATTCACCGCTTCCAGTTTAAACTGATACATTTATTATTCTTTGGATTTTAATTCTAAAGTTGGATTTACCAACTGGCCTCAGTGTATTTTCTTTTAAATTAGTACAGTGTTGATATGCTCCATCTCCTCCTCCCCTCTTCCTTCCCCCCCCTCCCCCCAAACAGGACTTTTAGCACTGGTTTGCTTTAGCTGGAAACTTACATTTCTGATTTATTCCATTAACACTTTTGTATTTTTAAAGCATTGTGCAAAGTTTTAGGAGCATGACCTCAAAATCACTCAGAGTAGTCTGGTCAAAGCCAAGCAAAACTCTGCAAGTATGCTCTTCTTCTTTTTTTTTTTTTTCTTTTCTTTTTCTTTTTCTTTTCATTACTGCCTGGAAGCTGCCTCTCGCTGATTAGGTTTTTGTTTGTTTGTTTGTTTTTTGTAGTCCCCATCCTCAGACTGGGCTCATTATGAGAATTATATTGGACTTTCTTCAAGATGCTTGTTTAATTTAAGGCAAAAAAAAAAAAGAGTTGGTGAGGTTAGGAGGAGTGGTGTGGTGGTTGGTTTTTTTGGTTTTTTGTTTTTTTTTTATTAGAAAGCCAGAGTATTAGAGTTACAGTAATAAAACTGTCCAATAGGTGATAACTAATGCAATACCAGATGTCATTGCAGATGTTGAAGAGGCTACTAGCTAATAAAAGATTCTGACAGAAACTCCTTATATAAAGAGCAAATGGAATTAAAAAAAAAAAGGCTGCTAAAGTCAGTACCAGTACTGCAAAATAGTGCAGAAGGAAGCTGCAGATGTTTTTGGAATATGATTGGATACAGTGCTGCAGGTCTGATCTGTAGTTTGAAAACTGACCTCTCAGTACTTTGTTACCTGCTGCTTATCCATTGAGTTTATGCCATGATAAGAGCTGTACTTACCTTGTTCAGTCCTGACAGTACCATGTTTCTTGGACGCAACAGCAAAGATCTTTTTAAAATGGAGGCGTAAAGTCAGGCTTACGAATAACTTAGGCTTGACTTTTCAAAAGGGCCAAGCACACAGTCTGGGGATGGAGGCTGCACAAAATCAGATTGATTCCAGCGGTGACTGGTGGTCAGTGCTTCTGAAAATCAGACCAAACTTATTTTAGAGCCTAATTATGACTTTGGGAGCTTAACTTTAGGGTTTTTTTTTTTAAGTATTGGCCCACATATTTGCATAATCCAGTGCCACGAATATTTACTTCATGGCACAGAAATATTTCTACCAGTACTACCCCCTAATTTCACTGCAAAAGTTAAAAGGAGGGTTGCTCTCTTATTTTCCACAGATATTCTTTGATGGAACATGTGGACTTCTGGCTATCACATGTCCCTATGTTTAGTTCTGGGACCATATTAAGGCTTAGGTACTACAGACTCATGCCTAGTGTTTCAGTTTCTGGAGTCATGTGACTAGATCAGAATCTAAGCTTTAATTTAAAAAAAAAAATAAGTTTCCGGCACTCATAGTTGGGAGTCAGCTTGAAAACATGACTTAGCCATAGCTGTTATAGCCATGTCTGCCTGAGTCTGCAAACAGCCTGAAACTATAGGTCTGAGAGGTGTAAATTGCCTCATTCATCTTAATGGGGTGCTAACTCCAAGACTTACTGGCAGGGGCTGGGGAGGTCCTGCCAACACCACCCGCATAGAGGACTCTGTGTGTGACAGAAGGGGAAGAATGTAGTAGGCTCATATCCAAGCAGATACTCCCTGGCTGCTGTGGAATATACTGGGGTCTTCCCTGTTGCCATTCCTGCCTCTTCAGGAGAAAGGAGAGACCCCTGCTGGTGGTTGTGGGGAGCAAGAGGGATCTATGCCACTTCATGTGCCTCTCTGGGAGGTGAAAAGAGGCCCCCCCCCCGCCACTGTCATTTCAAGTCAGGTGCAGGACCACAGGCAGCCCTGTGTCATGGTGTACCTTAATCCAGCTCATCTGATTTCATGGTCCACAGAAGCTATAAACAGATGTGATTCATGGTTTGTTTCTGCACAGATTGAAACTAATGGGAATGTCTGCTCAATGACATCAGTGGATGCAAGTTTGAGCCCTAAGCCACTCTTTACCTAGGCAAATTAAAGATGACCAGGGCCGGCTCTGGCTTTTTTGCCGCCCAAGGTAAAAAAGCCTCCGGGGGGAGGGCGGCGAGCCCCGGCGGGGGCTCGGCTCACCCCCCGGCGGCCAGAGCGCCGGGGGCAGGGCGGCGAGCCCCGGCGGGGGCTCGGCTCTCCCCCCGGCGGCCGGGGGGAGGGCGCAGGGGGGAGGGCGGCCAGAGCGCCGGGGGGAGGGTGGCGAGCCCGGCTGTGGCCCCGCTCTCCCCGGCGGCCGGAGCGCCGCGCCGCCCCCCTCCAGGTGCTGCCCCAAGCACCAGCTTGGGTGCTTGGTGCCTGGAGCCGGCCCTGAAGATGACCTATCTGTAATAGCTAAACATAATATATCCGCTACTCTGTATATCCGAGCCATAAGAAATGTTATAGCTCCTGGTTTAGAAGAACCAGAAACAGGCAAATGATAGATTTATATAATTTGGGGATTTGCAGGCACACCAATTCCACACCAGTTGGCTATGGTTCAGTTAGAATGAACTGAAAAGGAGAAATCGTATGCAAAAAGATTAATTAAAATCTTTTTGCACATCTTGAATTAACATAATTATTCCCCATCCATACTAGAATCTGACCTTTTTTTTCAGATTCATGCTACCCTTATTTTGATGTCAGAAGTTACATTGGCCCAAATTAATGAATAGCATGGATAAGTTTCAACCAATGGAAATAAAAGTTTACAGCTCATCTGCAGAATTGTTCCTAGTTGCATATAAACTGTATCAGTAAAATCCTTAGGGTTTCTAACAGTATTCCAAATCAAAGTAGTGACCTAAGAGTCAACTGATTCACATGAATAAAGCAAAACTAAGGGCATCAAAACAAAATTCACTAGCCAGATAAGTGAATTGTTACTTCAGAATAAAATACAAGAGCCAAATTAGCCCTGACATGTGCCTCTCACTGATTTCAAAACGTGGGCAGAATTTGGTGATGAAATGTAATCAGCACTTAAAGGCTAAGAAACAGGAAAGACTAGTGATCTGAAAAGAAATGTCAACCAAGCAACAGTAGTTTTTATTGTCTATTAAAGAGTAATTCTTTAACGGCACTTAGAGGAAACAATCAAAATTGACCCTTACTAAAGAATAAGAGGGGCAAATACCATTTAAAAACAGGGTATTAGCTACAGGGAAAGCCAGAAAACTACAAGATGTATGTTATTCTAATATATAGAGCTGTGTAACTGCTATGAGCTTGCTTTCTGTATACTGCATCTTTACATTTCTAAAAGCTTGCTGTCTCAAGAAACAATAAGCATTTTGTGGAAGAGACAAAGTATTTTACAGAGGACTAACATGCTGTGCCATCTCTGGGGACATTACTTCTGTGCTTTCTTGTTTTGTTGTTTCCTTGAGTGTAAAATACGTCAGTCACACTGAAAGTATATGGTTTGCTCTTTGTGTATGGTAAAATATAATGCTTATGTTTTCTGGAAGCAGTGGAGAAGGGAAAAAATGAAACAATCTGAAAGAGCTTCTTTCTCCCCCTTCACTGCTCTCCAAGAAAACTGTATCTGGAATTTTAATGAAGACCTTTTTTTGAATTACAAATAATTTCTGGCTCAAAATTAAAAGGAATCTGGCTTCTGATCTATTGATGTATTGAAATTCTAAAGTTATATGAAGACTCACACAATTGCTGCCTTTGCGACTTGTTGGTTTCCTATATCACTGATCCATTTCTGAACTTAGGGTATGTCTACACTACGGGATTAATCCGAATTTACAGAATTCAAATTTTGGAAACAGATTGTATAAAGTCGAATGTATGCGGCCACACTAAGCACATTTATTCGGCGGTGTGCGTCCATGTACCGGGGCTAGTGTCGATTTCCGGAGCGTTGCACTGTGGGTAGTTATCCCATAGCTATCCCATAGTTCCCACAGTCTCCCCCGCCCATTGGAATTCTGGGTTGAGATCCCAGTGCCTGATGGGGCAAAAAACATTGTTGCAGGTGGTTCTGGGTACAGCCTCACCCCTCCCTCCATGAAAGCAACGGCAGACAACCGTTTCGCGCCTTTTTTCCTGGGTGAACACTGCAGATGCCATACCACGGCAAGCATGAAGCCCGCTCAGCTCAAGACAGCAGACATGAACATTGTAAACACCTCGCGCATTCTCGTGAAGTTTATGCTGAACCAGGACCAGAAAAACAAGGCGAGGAGGAGGCAGCGACGGCAACGAGAGTGATGAGGACATGGACATGGACACAGAATTCTCTCAAACTGCGGGCCCCGGCGCTTTGGAGATCATGTTGTTAATGGGGCAGGTTCTAGCCGTGGAACGCATCTGCAAATTATGCTCATGTAATTCTAAATATTTGGGCCTTAGATATAGAGTCTTTGGCTAATTTTACAACCAAAGGCTTATCTATTTGATTGTGCTTTCATCTATAGTTGGTTCATTGACCAATGCATGTGAAGCACAAAGAAAAGTTATCAGAAATACCTATTGCCAAGTGAATGTGAAAAACAGCTCTGATGCACTGCACTATAAGGTATAAAAATGGGTAATTTACAGTGTGAGCTATGAAACACATTTTTTGTCATTTTCGGTCTCCCTACTTAATGTTCTTAGTGAGCACACTTTTTGTACTTTTGCCCCTTTTCAGTAATTTATCTCACCAGGAAAACTGAGGTGAGATTGACTATCAGACGTTCTGTAAAGTCTTGGTTTGTTTGTTTCTTTTTTTTAATCAATTAGGCTTCAGTGAGGTACGTGGACCTGTAGGTCCATGACTTGGTCATTGTGACCTAGTATTACACAGTGAACCAGTTGCTTGGCTGGGATTTTACCCATATCACTCTGGCTGCTGGCCATTTCCAATAAACACTCCATCACCCATCATCATCAAATACGCATGGTCTACTGAGAACCATTGCAGCCGCTAGAGTGACCACAGTTGATGGCATCGTAGATAGAAGTTCCCTGATCTGGCTTAATCCTGAAAATCCACAGATCTTTGAGACAGCCCCCACAGGTAATACCACATAGGGTAAATACATGCACCCCATCATATATCGATGGAGTTTGAGAGTACAGTGTGCTGGGGTGTTTTCATCCATCCTGGAGACGTGGCCAAAGAGCATGCAATGCTGCTTTGGAATGTAGTGAGCAATGGGAGGAATGCAATGTGTCTGCGAGGTCCAGCACCCCCATGGATTAATGTGATATTCATAGTTGCTCTACAGCATTAAATTGCGATTAAGATATATTTTTGAAGTAAAGTTTATTCCTGAGAAGTAGCAACTGCTTCTGAAATTAGTATGATGCATATTGATATCTGTTTTGACTGTATTATTTAATACTATTCATAGAATCATAGAAGATTAGGGTTGGAAGAGACCTCAGGAGGTCATCTAGTCCAACCCCCTGCTCAAAGCAGGACCAACCCCAACTAAATTAACTATTTCTATTTTACACACTGGAATTTCTAGATATACTGAAATGTTGTATGAATTAGTTTCCTATCAAATTCAGCTCAAGTTTGAGAAGAGTTTTGACTAAAAAAAATTCAGAAAAGTTGAAACATTTCATTTCAAAATATTCTATTTCAACCATTTTGTTTTAACCCTTCATTTCAAAACAGTTTCATTTTGAAATTTATCTAATTTTAAAAAACAAATATAGTGGAAAAACATGACCAAAATTCATTTCAGGTCAAACTAAACATTTCATTCAACCCAAAACAAAAATTCTTTTTGTTTTGTGTTGTGTTTTGTTTTGTTTTGTTTTTTGTTTTGGTGAGGAAAAATGAAAAAAACCCTAAGTGTTCAGTTTTAACTATTGACTAAAAGGTGTAGCCAGTTGTT